GAGCCCAGTTTTGTCCCTTTCCCCCATCATAGCTAGTTTAAAGCTCTTTCGATAAGCCCTGCTAGCTACTGCGCTAGGATTTGTTTCCCCCCTTTGAGATAGGTAGGTTCCATGCATGGACAACAGGTCAGAGGCTGAGTAAACTGCTCCATGATCAAAGAATCCAAAGTTTCTGCCTGGACACCAGCCTCTGAACCAATTATTCATGGCTTGTGCTTTCCAAGGCTGCTCTGTGTCCCTCACTACCCCTGAGGGTGTAGAACAAATGATCACTTGAGCTCCCACTCCTTGAACTAAATGTTGTAAATCCCTGAAATCTCTTTTCATAGCTCAATATTTACACTCCTTCACTTCACTTCAATTGACCCATCTTCCACAGCTACAGCACCATATGGGCAGTGTGCACTGTGTTCACTCGCTGAACCTCCCCATTCTCAGCAGGTTGCAACAACAGTTACCCACCTGCAGTGCTCCTGAAACTATTTAAAGCTTATTATCAGGTGTGAATGTTAAGGGCAGGTGATGTCGCATTCATAGGGTGTTTAAACTGTGTCACTAATGTACCAGCTCCACCCTTGCTGACTCAGGAGCCCGCCTACAAGCTGCCAGCTCCCTAGCACAAGCGCAGCACTGTTGCTTGCTTTAAAAAAGCCTTAGAAAGCAGACACCCAGCCCCCCCCAAAAAAGACACCCAAACCCCAGCCCTGGATAGCAGATATCAAGCTGCTTGGGGAACTAGTGAATAAGGTCCCCTGAGAAACTTCTTTTGAAATCATTGGGATTTGTTGGTGCTAGTCACTTTTAAAGTACTACTCCCTGAGAGTAAAGAAACAGGCAATTCCAAAATGTCACAAGTCAAGCAGGTGGGACAGAAGGCCAGCCTGGCTGAACAAGGATCTTCTTCTAGAGCTTAGGTGGAAAAAGCTGTATAGCAACTGGAAGTGTGGTCAAGTGACATGGGAATACTATAGTGAAGCTGTTCACCTTGGAAGGGAAAAAAGTCATGCAGCCAATGCTGAGTTGACACTGGCCAGTACTGTGGAGGACAGTGAAAAGGTTTTTTTTTCCAATACATTAACAACAAAAGCAGGGCCAGAAAGAATGCTGGTTTGTTAGTTGAGGAGAAGAGTCATCTTACAAAGCAGAGATATTTAATGTCATCTTTGCCTATGTCTTCAACACTGATGATGGTCACTGGCATTCCAGGTGCCCTGAGTTGGAGGACTGTGACTGCAGTAATGATCAATTCCAAGCCAATCCTGACTTTGTGTTAGATTTGCTGCTCTACCTGCATGCATATAGGTTCAGAGGATCAAAGGGGATTCATCCCAAAGTACTTAGAGAGTTGGCTGATGTCGTTGCAAGACCTCTCTCAATTATTTCTCAGTCGTCTTGGGAATCTGGAGAGGTCCCAACTGACTGGAAGCTGGCAAACATTGTTCCGATTTTCAAGAGCAAGAAAGAAGATCCTAGTAATCACAGATCTGTCAGTCTCCCTTCAGTGCCTGGTAAAATTATGGAGAAAATTATGCTGAGAGTTATTGAAAAATGCATGAAAGACAATGTGGTCATTGGTCACAGCCAACACAGGTTCATGAAGGGAAGGTTCCTGTTGAACTAACTTAATTTCCTTTTGTGACAAGGTCATCTCTCCTTGAGCACAAAAAGGACACAAAACACTTGCTTAGACATTCACTGTGAAAAAGTTAGCGCATGTTAAGTCAACTTTCTTTATAAAAATATACATCTGCAAGAGTACTAAAAGGATTTTAAAATACATGAGCTGTGGTCTTTTGAAACTGCTTGATTTTCTAAAATTCCAGTGCAGAAGTGGTATTCAAGATAAAACAGAATATTACAGGTAATGAAACCAGTATATATAAATGCCAATTTGGCAAAGACATCTGTATGAGAACTGTTGAGTCAAGGCCTGAACCACTGATGGATCACCTGAGGCAAGGACAGAGTCACCCACTGGAGCACAGGTGAAGGTGATTCACCTGTGTGACTGGAAGGGGTGGAGCCTAGCTCTACCTCTCCTAGGCCCCATTTAAGGGCTGACTGCTGCTAAAAAAGAATTTTTTTCTAGAGATTCCTCTGCTGTGGAGTCTTTCCTGTGAACCCAGATCTTTGGAAACCAGACCAGGTATGTGTATGGAAAGGGGGAACCCGTAAGTCGTGAGGAGATGTCCTACATGGGGTATGAAGGAGTGTGCGTGCTCCCCCGACGTATCTGAGCTCATGAAGTTAGGTTGCTGGCTGGGGTAGGGAGATTCCTTGGAGAAGTTTGTATGAAGGGGACCTGTAAGTCGTATGCAAGGAAAGAGCAATAGCTTTCCCTCAGAGGACTGGTACCAACAGGTATCTTGTCAGATGATAACATCGGAGTTATAGGTTGTGTTATTGTTATCTCCATCTGTTGTAAGTGTTTGGTACTGTGTATTTGAGTAATTGCTATCAAAACACTCAAAAGGAGTCTGGAGGTCTGATTTGGTAAAGTGGGAAGCCAGTATTATGTATGATTGCGAGTGAATGTATTGAATACTTGAGACGTGGCACAGCTGCAGGGTGAGTGCGGAGTATAACAACGATCGTTGTCTGACTGTCTTTACATTTTTGTATGAATGGGGATGATGAACCCATAGAGAGATTCCCATTCCATTCAGGGAATGAGTGTAAACTTGTTTATGTAATATCGTGTTCTGCTTGTGACGAGGTGCATGAGGGAGATGGGTCAATCAGTACTAGTTCTGTAGCAAGGTGTTTATAACCAAAGGATATGGATTGTTGGGGGAATGCTATATGGTATTGAGGGTGTTTATGGAAACTGAAGAACTGTATTGTTTGATTTCTGGGTTTTGAAGGGAATGGGACAAGCTGTTTTGATGGGATAAGAAAGTGCAATTGTTAATGGTATACGGAAGTATAATTGAGGATATGTGGAAATGTAACTGAGGGTATGAATAGTGGAATAGTTTGCAAAGGAAAAAAGGGTTAAAAAGAAAGTGAGTTTATCTGCGCTGGCATGAGAGCAACCCCCCCCACACTGTTCCCCTGTGAGCAGAACTTGGTGTGAGAGAGAGAGCCAGGGACAGAGACTGCTGCTGTAAACAGCATTACTTGCAAAGGGGGAGGTGGAGAGAGTAGGGCACTGGAAGCGAGAGTAGTCTTCATCTGCAGAGACCTAGGAAACCCAAAATCTCAGTGTTAGCACTAGAAGCCTCTGGAGAGGAGGAGGTGAAACTGAAATATCATGTTAGTAGTTTATGTAATGATGAGAGTTTAGAAAGTGAAAAAGTTTGGGAAGGACACAGGGTGAGGAAGGCAAAGATGAGCAGGGTGTAAAAGGGTTGTCAGGACTGAAGAGAGGTGAGCGATATGGGGGAAAAAAAACAAAAACAAAAAAAAAAACCAACAAAGACAACAACAAAAAAACTGACTGAGAAACAGGGATAGTAAGGAAATTGAGAATAACAGCAGTTGTTACTGCTGTGGCACTAGATTAGGGCCATAGGATCCAGAGATTCCCTCAGAGAGAGGTAGGGGGGGCTCGAAGAACCCAGGGAGGACTCCACCCCACTGGAACAGGAAGCAGTGTGCAAACTGAAGGGAAATAGAACACTGGTGGAGAAATCCTACCAAGCTGAGTGAGAGGGAACTATCTCTGATTGCAAAGCTGAAGGATGGAAATCTGGGAAGTTTACCCTAGCAGATCCACTGGTTAAACTGCAGCTAAGGGAGCAGGATAAAGAGGTTTCTCTTTTGGTTAAGCAGTTAAAGAAAATTGATTATTTGGTACTGGGGCACGAAGCTTGGATGATCCAGTGCATGGTGTATTACTAGGCAACTGTGTTTATGTTAAATTGCTCTCAGATTCATCTTTGGAACCGAAGTGGGAAGGACCCTACCATGTACTTCTGACGACCCACACAGCATCTAAAATAGAAGGACTTCATGGATTCATCATGCCCGCCTGAAGAGAGCACCCAGACCACAGTGGACAGCAGAAGAGGAAGGACCATTGAAAATCAGGATTCGAAAGCACGTATTAGACTTTGACAACCAGTGTGATTGTAGTAGCAGTCACAGCTTGGCAAGAAAATAGTTACTTGAGAATGATTGAGAAAATTGGCCAAGCTCTCAACAGATCTTGCTGGATATGTATAGCTCTCCCTAGAAGAGAAGGAAGAGCGTTGGCTTATGGGATAGTAGCAGTAAATTGGACAATTCCAAATTGGGTGGAAATTTGGAGTATAGAAGATAAGCCACAGAAGGGCCCTAAGTTTGATTTACTAGTTATTAACTCTACTGGGTCTATCTTTGTAGATAGGAAAAACAATAGTGAAGGCGGGGTGGGGGTTGGATGGTGAAATTTGACAGGCATTGGGTGTAGCTGGGAATACGGAACTCTGGAACAGTATCAGGGACCAGTGAAGCTGGAAGGTGGAAGTAAGGTGAAGGGAGTGATCCTAGAATAGATGAGGTGTCACAATGGGTCTCAGATAAAAACGTACTCGGAATTGTAGGGATGGGAACATCATTCACCCACCAAGGAAGTATGAACAGGCCCTAGCCTTTCTGCATTTCTGAACAAAAGGACACCCAGTAATCATGGAATCATAGAATGCCTTGGGTTGGAATAGACATCAAGGATCATCTAGTTTCAACCCCAATGCTATGGGCAAGGTTGCCAACCACGTGATCAGACTGAAAGATGAAAGTGATTTAAGATCTTTTAACAGAAAAGAACTTCTAGAAGAAATCTCTTCTGGAAACTGAATCTAAAGGACATGTTAGAAAAAGTATTATGGGAAATCCTGTAATTAAAAAGGATGGAATTATATACTATATTTGAGAACACTTGCAGGAGCAAAAGTTACTGATCATTGATATAGACCAGTAATATGCATTCTAAAAATAATATTAGTATAAAACAAGCATCATCTCACAGGGGGGAAAAAAAAAAGTACTGCAATGCACTCAGAATTAGTTATACAAACCTTTACTAGCTTTATCCAAATGCTGAAAATCTTCAACAAAATTCAGAACATCTTGATAGTTTTCTTCACACACTTCCACAAGAAAATGGAGCAGTGTTGTTTTTTGATCTGCTGACTTCGTGTCTTTCAGCTAGGCAAGAAAAAAAAAGTGTTAAAACACTGAGGATAAGATTGCCTCTGAATATTTTAGTAATTAATATATATTGCTAATTGTGAATAAGAAAAAAAGATAAGAACAAACTGTTGAACTGGAACAGTTCTTGGAGAAAACCTGAAGTAATGGATTCATATTTCCATCCTTGATGAAAATAAGAATTAAATATTTTTTTCTATGAAATATTTGAGTTCATTTCTAAGAAACAGTATATGTTTTTCTTTTAAAATCTATTTATTTAAGCAATGTATCAGTGTCTGTGAAATCATGATCAAATTTATGATGATGTAAACAAACAATTCAGAGCTCAATCTGCAAAATTTATCAATAAATGATGTAAATATACACTTCATAGGATGACTCCTTACCTGTGATGCTAACTCTGGCTCAACACGCAAGAAGTGTAAGCTACAATCTCAGTTTGCACAAGTCATAGTTCAGTTCACAGACCTGAACGTTCAAAAAGTTATACTTCCAAAATCGTTAAGCATAAAATTTTCTGTCTGAATCTTTTGCACACACAAAAATGATTTCAAGCCTGATCAGTTTAGGACTTGTATCTATGTATGTAAAAATACTAACTAACAATAAGCAAGCATTCAGTTATACGTTTCTGTTGTAGCCATCTGATTGGCTTGATATAAAAGTCGGAAAATCAGATAAACTTTTTTTTTTTTCCCCCATAGTGTCAAACTGAAACAGAGAATTCTGGATGGCGCTTAACAATCAAGTCAGCATTTCATACATTCCTGGTAAAAGTCATCAATTGTTTTCTAAGATCAAGATGATACAAACAAGAAATCTGATGAGCTATGTGCCTCCATTTTATTTTTTTTTTCCTTTACACAAGTATGTTTATGTGAGACAATTTTCAAGATAAACTCATGAAATTCGTATACATTGAAACAAACAAAAGAAAATAGGGTCACTACTACATGTACTGTAATAAAATAAACTAATTCTACTGTATTGAGATTCTCAGCAATAAATAACTGTTGGAACATCACACAATTTCTGCGAGAATCTGCTTAAAATACATGTAATCATAAAAAGTTAGTTTTAAAAATAAACTGGGGCTACAAACACATTTATGTTTAATATATCAGTAGTTAATAAATTACTATTGGCACACCAACATCGTATCTCTCTTCTCAGTATACGTAGCAGACTTATTTACATTTCAATTCTTCATGATGCAGGAAGAAGTAAAGATATGGGTTTATCTTTGCAAAGCGGATAACTCATTGAGTTTCTCAGGCATAGTCAAAAAAGAGAACAGCAACCTTACTGTGAAACCTTACTGAAAAATACTGAGCAGAACACCAAGCAGTCTGCAATTGGTAGCCTCGTAGTTTTTCAGTCAAGAAATAGTGGTTTGGGTGGGATCATCTTTCAACTTAACGCTCATTTTTTGTAACAATTGAATCAGTTTCTTATTCTCAGAACAGAAGGGGTTATACATTAACTAAGCCAGAACACACTGCTCAGAAAAACAGAAAAAATTACACATACATACTTTTACCTCTGTGTTTCAAGACACAGTTTCATAACCAATGAAGGCTTGGCAATCACGTACTTACTAAATGGCTTCCCAATGCTTCCCAACTACTATTAAGGCAGCATTACCTCACTCAAGAAAAGAAGTTTTTAACCAAATGGTCTGGCATTTACAAACAATCAGTGTGAAGCAATGCCAAATCAAATACGTATGAAAACTTTGCCATTTGAACTTTATTTTTAATTTGTATATTTCTTAAGTAAATGAAATATATCAAATACTGTAATATATGATTATGTATAATTAAAGAAGTCCTGAAAGATGCAAAATAGTATCACCATTTCTAATCATATGACATGACGTAATATCAAAATTACACCCTACTAGGCATTTTGATTATAAGGAGAGAATTACCTTTTTCTGTAATAGCGTGTATCTTTATACTTAAATCACTAACAGTCTATTAGTAGCAATCAGTATTTTTCCTGAGCAGAAGATTAGGTGTCTACTGACATCCATTTCAACCTGAATTATTCCACGATTCTAAGAAACCCAATTCCTAACAAGTTAACTACATAGGTTGCTCCAAAAATAATGCCTCCTATTTATGTTAATGGAAAACAGAACAGATACAAAGAGCACAATAACCCTAATTGATAGACTAAATTCTCAGCTACAAAGCACTATTTGCTTACATACCCACTACCATTAACTATATATTTTCACCAGCAATGAACAAAAGCCTGCATGTCATGCTTGTAAATATGTGCATGGCTGTCTGGATTGTGGATTTTTTTTCATGTAGTTGTTGCCACTGCTGAAACATACCAACTGTCTCACTGTGCTAACACACACTGTTCAGTCTCCATAACAGTATGAAGGCAGTTATCACAAGCATTTTGCAAAGCAGAATAAATACGGAATGATCTTGGATAAATAATTTAAGGTGTAGTAAATAAAAATAGAGCCTGAACTGCTCTACATAGGAAGACCTGACTTTAGGTCATGGCTTACCCTACAATGCTCTGGTATTAAATGCACAGGACAAGCAAGTTAGTTAGATTTGCAAGCTTACAGGTTATCTAGCTTTATAGGAGGTTACACTACACTGCTGGAGGGGAAAAAAAATGAATGAAAATATGTTGATTACTGAGAACCTAAAGCGTGAGTTCCAACCTTTTGCCTTAATTGAGATGCAATGAGTAAAGAGGAATTGTCTTGGTCCACATACAGAATATATTATATATATTTTATATATAAATATATATATATTTTTTTTTTTTGCTTCTTAAATCACTAGCATGTGTAAGTAATAAGTGATCTTAAATCACTTTCGTCTTTCAGTCTGATCACGTGGGTTGGCAACCTTGCCCATAGCATTGGGGTTGGAACTAGATGATCCTTGATGTCTATTCCAACCCAAGGCATTCTATGATTCCATGATTACTGGGTGTCCTTTTGTTCAGAAATGCAAAAATAATGAATACCTTCTATGTTATTATGTTGTCTCACATCATCGAAAGTGGATGTTGGTGGTATGGCAGTAGAGGTCAAGCCTTCCTGATAATATTCCCTTATTACATTTTGTTGTTATACACTGGCAGTAGACGACAGTAGAGGAGTGGTCGGACAAAATGGCATCTGACATAGAAGTGCATATAAAGCAAAAGTGTGCCACTGAACTCCATGTGGAAAAAAATGGCACCCACTGACATTCATTGGTGCTTGCTGAATGTTTTTGGAGACCAAACAGTGGGTGTTAGGACAGTGAGGGGGTGAGTGGTGTGTTTCAGCAGTGGCAACAGTAACATGAAAGACAAGACATGTTCTGGACAGCCATGCAAAGCTGTGACACCACAAAATGAAGTGCCAATTTGTGTGAAATGGTTAATGGTGGTGATGGGGAAAAAACTATAGCACTAAATAGGGTTAGCCAATTAGGCTTAGAATTGTTTTTAAGTTAACACTCAGGAAAGAATAGATGTCTTCTTGCATTACATTGTCACTCTTTCAACTTTTACATAAGGAAAATTAGAAGCAGCTGGAAACTAATGAAGCTGAGCAACAAGAAAAGGAAAACAGATAAGGAAAAATGTTATAAGAAAGAGAAATCATAACTATCTCATTACAGATTAAAATCTTAGAAGTGTTCAGACATGTAAATCTACAGTGCAACCAGGATCACATTGATACAGTCCTTCCATAGCTTTAGTTTGTTTTGGTTTTTATTATAATTTCCTCAATATGAAATATTCTGAAAGTTCAAATGCAAGTCAGTCACAAGACGACTGTACATAGATAAGCTCTGTATTGTTCAAATCACCATCTAATGTTTAGAATTAAGAAGAAAAAATAAATAAATACAAACAATTAACTGCAGAGAAAACATCAAGATAAGGTATTTAGGAAGTACAATAAAAACAAACAAAGAAATGAATGTAATACTCAACATGGACATTTCAAAACTCACTTTACAGAGAGAGCTGAGGTTATATCCAAAGGTCTGTGCATTCCGAGAACCTGCATTCATGTAGTTTCCCATTAACAGTACTAGTTCCAGCAGCTTGCTGAAGCTTTTGCTCTTTTTTATCTCTTCGCAAGCAGCACTGACAGCCATGATGTCAGGTTTGATGTTGTTCACCTGCTCCTCAAACTGAAGCTTAAAAAGAATAGCAGTGAGCCGTGGCCGTAGTCTCTTCACGTTGCTCATCTGATTGAAAAGAAAATAGGAGATTTCCTTTAAAATTCATGCTACACTGTACAAATGCATACAATCTGAAATGATTTATTGGTGTGACAGGCTTGAAGAAGCAATATATCTGCTATAACTGATAGCAAATGAACGAATGAATGAGAGACACTTGGGTAAGCAACTGAAATCCCATCTTGTGGTTAATGTGAACTGCCCCCATCCTTTCCCAATAACTAGTATGTGTAAGCAATAAATGATAAAGTGTCATCATATATCATATCTGTCAACTCATATACCAAATCCTATAAAACTAATCCAAGTTTATGACCCAGTAGTTGCAAAGTAATAAAAGTAGTTCACAAATTCTGTATAACTCAGGATGTACCAAAACAAGGCAAATCACATTTTCTAGTGCAAATATTTAAAAGCTGATTTCAATAAAAGCTTAATCTCAACTTGTAGAAAAACAACAGTTCTGAAAAATCTCTGCTATGAAACACTTAATATAATGTGTATTATTATATGCCAGTATTCATACCCCACTACAGTCCTAGACTTTACACAGTTAAATTAGGTAAGGCAGAACACTCCTAGGAAAAGAATAGCTTCTTTAGATCTTATGCAAAAAAATTACTTCCTCTACACTTTAGTAGTCAAGTATTTTCAACAGAAGTTTCAGTCTTTCTGTATGACTTCAGTTCCTGAATTCCTACCCTAGAGATCCTATACACATTTTTTCCTGTATCCAGACAAGATTGTGAATTTTATTAATACTTTAAATCAAAGAACATGGAATGTACTCAATAAATTAAATTTCCCTAGCTTCCAGTGTACTTCTCACACCTTTTATCGCCACCTTTTATCCCCAACCCCATTTTTCCCTCTTTCATGGAAGAAATCATGTTTTGCCACCTTGCTCTTCAGTTCTGAATGCATGGAAGAAACACCAGTGTTGAGTGCTTCCATGCGTGTCTTCCCTCATTTTTTTCCTATCCTTCCTTTCCCACCAATACAACAAATGCAGGAAGACTTTCTTCCTGATAGTCATATTCTCCTTTCTGAAGGCAAAGTTGAAGCCAATAATGCCTTCACAATACATGAAATCCTAAACTACTAGATTATGTACAGGTTTTTTTTTTTAATGTTATTGTTGACTGTTATTCAGTCTGGACACGGAAAGGCTTTTTTGTTTGTTTGTGGTATGGAAGATACACAGATGCACAGATTTACTGACAACTTAATCAAAATGGAATGGAGACACAGCTTTTCCTTCTCAGAGTTGAGTTAGGACTCATTTTTTTGAATTAGGACTCATTTCCCTACAAAGGAAACATCCAAGACTGAGAAGTTTTGAAATTAATTCTATTTTTAGCAGGCGTAACAGCCATCAGAAAACTATTTTCATTAAAAGCTACATATGGAGCAGATATCACCAGAATGAAGATTTCCTAATAGGAAATCAAGTCACAGTTTAACATAGGAAAGGTCTCCTATAAGACCTCTATTTCAGGCAGATGACAAAAGTAAATATATTTATACCAGAAGTCAAGTGTAGAAGTACATGAGTAATTTCAGTTAGAATAACATAATATCAAATCAAATGAAGAAAAGTTTCTAAAAGTCAACAGGATAGATCTCTCTTCCAGATGGAAAAATCTGATAAATTAGTTCTAAAAGTACTTCATACTTCCTAATGCTATTACTTTTAGTGTCTCAATATACAAGCCATGAAGATATGGGCAGGTGATCATAGTGTCAATGGAAATATCTGAAAATCATGACAGCAGATGTAGTATTTTCTATGAGGTTGAACCACCATACTTACTCCAACTTAGAAGTAGAATTTGACACTGTAATGGTTTAAGCAATATACAGTGATAACACCCACAACAGCAGATGATTATGATGTCCTTGATGTGACAACAACAACAAAAAAAAATAGATCTCTAGCACATTCTTATTTAGTATGATCTTCTCTAATGATTCAACGAGTCATCCAAGTTGATTTCCTAGACAGGAAGATATTATGTGCCTATGATGAAAACAGTAGTGGGAAGAAAAAGCATTCTGCTGCAAATCTTCTGTAGTCTTGTCAATAGTCAATTAAAATTATTTATCTATATCATTACTTAGTGCATTTGGAAACATGGGTAATCTGTGGCAAAAAGAGTTTGACCTGAAATGTCACATATGTGGATGCTGCTGAAAGACAGCTTGCACATATTAGGAAAAGTCCCCTACGTCTACAAAATGGTGACAGAGAAAGCAAGTCCCAAAGGACATGCAGCTCCATTGAGCTCTAAAGTCTGAAGCTGGAATACATGAAATATCTGCACAGCCAGTTCAAGCTATAAAGATCTAAGATACTGACTAGATTCAAGATTCTTTAAGCATAGCTGCCCTGTTAGCCAGTGACATGGATAGATCACTTAATGTAGGTGAAAACTTCCCAAAAAACCTTGAAGTTGTTCAGCATCTATACATCAAGATCCTCTACTGATCACATCAAAACAAAATACCTTTTCTTAACATGTCCAAATCACAACATGAAAATCAGTTTCACAAAGACTGTTGGCATTTTTAATGAAGCAGAATATTGTGCCCTGCTGCCAACCCAAATACAAATTCTCCTGAAGCCCAATACAAGTATCCGTTCTTCTTAGACACCAAAGTTTAGATGCTTTAAAACTTTTCAGCACTGAAAAAATGGCAACTCTATAGTAAAACCTGTAGATATCAGGTATCAAAAACCGTTAGCATGGGAAGAGATTTTGCACAAAGCCAGGAAGGATGTTTTGGAAGGCAGTAAGCAATGCTGCAACCAATACAGGTGGCATTAGCCACCTGGATGACATGGTTTCAAGTTGAGTTGAAGGCGTGCAATCTATTCCTAATAGCTAAGAGAGTGAAAACAAAGTCAAAAAGAAGTTTATCTTTTCCTGTATAATGGCAGTCTTAAAGCAGTATCATTCAAGAAACAAGTGTAGAAAGTCTACTTTGGGAATAACTCTTTTTGATTCTTTCATGATTACTGATGGCATGAAAATAAACAGAGAGATAAAAACACAGTATAATCCACACCAAATTTAGTGGTTTAATGCCATATTCTTTAAAGTATAAAACATTTTTCTATTAATCTTACAATCTTTCAGGATTTTATTCTTTTTCCAATTTCAAATGCAGTCTATATTTCATAGTCAAGTCAAAACATCTAAGCTCAGAAATTATTTCACAGTAAAATACACCATCTTTTCATATCATCTTCCTTGGATCCAAGATTCCAGACAAATGTTAAGGGCTCTTACAGAAAAATTATTCTGTTCTTAGGAAACTGCCACTCCCAAGTATGAATACTGTCAAACTGCCATAGCATATTCCATAAGGTTGCTGCAACTGGAACTGGTTGGTGCACTGGAATTGCTAGGTCACAGCCTGAACCAATGGTTGAGCACCAGGTGAAAAGGTATTGCTAACCAAGGGAGCTCAGGTGTGAACAATGCACCTGAGTGACTGTAAGGGGTGGAGCCTAGATCCCTCCTCACCCTTTAAGGGTTAGTAGAGAAGAAAAGAGCCTCTCTGGATAGAGATCACACTTTTCTTGAGCTAGTGCTGGTTGTTAGAAGGGACAAGCCAATTTTCCTTCTTTATTACATGCTATTGCTCCATAGTATCTGTATCCCACTTGAAGGCACTGTCATTGCTTTCTTTTGCCATGCAATGGGTAAAAGAAAATCCAGTCTACCAACACGTGATAGTTTTCAGTTACATTGGGTCATAATGGGAAACATACATCTGATAAAGCTAAACAATACAACACCAATTTTTATCAGTAATGTTGTGTGAAATGAAACAAATTTTCACTGTGTGAATCAAATCAGATTCAAGACAAGTTCTTGAGACACTTAGAGGAATCTGCAATTGAATCACTGATCAGTTAGAGACAAAAGATGAGGACTATTCAAGAGAGATAACCTCACTGATGTCAAGTTGTAGAGAGATCTGCCAAGAAGAAAACTGTGAGAGCCTATGCCCTTGCCAAATGAAACAATCACCACTTCCAGACATCTGAGGTAACATCATAACTTCATAAGACAATTTATTTTTTACTTATCTTTACATTTTGCTAGCTGCACTAGAGGTATTCAAAATAGTTTTGACAGCACAGAATAGAAGAATGACACCTATAAAAGCCTATTAAAAGATACCAACACTGTAAGAGTTAAGGATGTTCTCCCTTTATAGTCAAACTATTTAAGTGGTTTAATTTGACATGTATATATTTTAACTGTCACAGGTGATGTATAGTGCTAAGTCAATCTTTGACAACATTCTTGGGAAGGCTCAAATTGCTGATGGAGAGCACTGAAAAGAAAAAGCAGCATACACATGAAGAAAGCAGAAGAAGGTAAGGATTACAAAAGAAATTCTACAGATGGAAATTAACACAATTAAAATATCTCACAGTGCTGATAGACTTTGCCACTGTAGTATTTCAACCAAACTGAAATGGCTGCGATCAAGCAGTGTTAGGAACAGCTCTTCAAACATTCTAAGATATTTTCTAGACAGCAGTGAAAACATTAATAGGTTCTGAATTATCCTCAATGTGAACATACAGGTGAAATCATCAGCTGAATACAGAATTGATCATTTTAAGTGTTTGCTGAATTATTTAAGACAAACTAGCCTTCATCAGGTCTCACTCTAATCTTCAATTTACTCTAGTGAAATCTTCTTTTTTGGTATGAAATGATTAAAAACACATCTATCAGTGAACATGCTGTGAAGCCACATGAGAATAGCTTGCCAACTTCTATTCAGGTTAGCTATCAGTGTAACTCACAAGGACTAGACATTAATTATTTCTGAAAGAATATTTCAAAATTCACCCATTTTATCTTTGAATAAGTAAAAGTGATCAGGCAAAAAACTATTTCTTTTTCTCATTCCCAAACTATATGTGAAAACATTTAAAAAATCTCAAGTTTTAAGATCAGAAATAAAGTAGAAGCTATCAC